GGTAACACTGCGATCTTGTTTTCCCCCGTTATGCTCACTCTTGCTAGCACAGGTAACGAATTCTTTCTCTTACTTCCGACTCCTCGCTGGTTTATTTTATCGGTGGATCCGTCGTAACTGCCAACTCCTCCACATCCACCGGATCCTCGAGACCCTCAGAGCCATGTAGTCAATCAACTTACTCGACCATATCTAAAACCGAGCATAACAAATCTACCTCCGCTTGTGAGTTGACGAAAAAACATGGGAAATTTCTCCCTCTTTGTCTCTTCACCGCAGTCTCAACCAATATGTCCCATAGACTCCTCGACTCTCTCTCGCAAAGCCTCAATGACTCGACCCAACAGTACAGTGACCCTCAAGGTTACTCTGGTGGTCAACTCTCTGACAAAAGCTCCTCAAACGTCTTTCACTCTTGCAGCCGCATCACCTCTCACGCTAAGGAAAAAACCAGATCTTCTGCCTCTATCGACAGCTTCTCCGTCAATGATATGTCGCTCCACCGCTGTCTCAGTCACCTCGTCGCCGGTGGCACAAAACCATAATTTGGATGTCAACTTCTTCTGTTTGGGTTTGGACAAGTCTACTTGCTTCGAAGCCCTTTCATGGCCCATTAAGAATTCTGGTTGTCGGCCCAACAAAGTTTCATGTTTTTGTCGACCCAGGTCATGTCTCAAAGTCCACACTTCTTAAAGCATGTATGACTCAATTTCCTCATTCAAGGAGAGATCACCTTCACAAACCTCCTCCAATTTGGAGAGATCACCTTCACAACCTTCCTCCATTTTGGAGAGATCAAGTCTATCACCTTCCTCCGTATCAGAGGAAACACTTCCACTAACTTTCTTCTTTGGGGAGAATGTTTTTAAACGCTTAGCCTTGAAGGCACCACGAGCGAAAATCGTTTGTTCGCCATTATTGGTAGAAGAACTATCCCTTTCGAAGGAGTTTCTGGTAATTATCTATGATTGTAACCTCTTATCTTATCTTTACTATGCTTTGCATTTCTTGTATGCTTTAAGTTCAGACTCCTTGGCATCGAATTCATTATCAGAGGAAACACTTCCACTAACTTTCTTCTTTGGGGAGAATGTTTTTAAATGCTCAGCCTTGAAAGCACCACAAGCAAAATCGTATGATCGCTTTTATTTGTAGAAGAACTAGCCCTTTCGAAGGAGCTTCTGGTTATTATCTATGATTGTAACCTCTTATCTTATTTTTACTATGTTTTGCATTTCTTATGTGCTTTAAGTTCAGACTCCTTGGCATTGAGTTTCCGAATTCATTGTAACCGCGTTCTAAGATAAATATAAGTATGATTTATCCAAAACAAAACAAGAACACTGTTGTTGACAAAAAGAATTAACAACCAAAATATCAACAACAATATTGTGGAAGCTGAATTCTGAAATAAGACTTTTTATGTGAATTCGGAGAAGAAATTTTGATCCTAAGAAAATATCTATAATTCTTATATGGAATGAGAAATGTACGGCGAAACTGGATTTATATTGATATTGAATTGAATATACGAAAAGATCTCGAATGAAATATGTTTACAATCTATTGGATTTGAAGAAAAGAAATTACCCAAATACGGAGAAGAAACGACGCATTACATCAACAGTGACAGTGTCAAACGATTTCTTTTAAAGATTGAGGCTGTAACGCCTCCGATCATTTATAGACCGGAAACGCTACTGACGAATACTTAAGTGTCCGGTCAGAGATTCCTGGAACATATCCAAATTCCCTAGACAAGACTTCTAAGCGTTCGTCCCCATTAGGTATATCTCAAGGCTTGCCAACCCGAGACATACGTAACGGTTAGTTCGTCTGGACAAGGACTAGTATCACATGAAACCCGAATTTATGCAAACTCG